TGGGAAAAATTAGCCGGGCATGGTGGCGCATGCCTGTAGTCCCAGCTACTCGGGAGGCTGAGGCAGGAGGATCGCTCAAGCCCAGGAGTTTGAGGTTGCTGTGAGCTAGACTGATGCCACGTCACTCTAGCCAGGGCAACAGAGCCAGACTCTGTCTCAAAAAAAAAAAAAAAAGGGCATTTTTATATTTAACCACAATATCATTATTTCATTTAACAAAATTAGTAATGATTCTATAATATCATCTGGCATTTAGTGCATTTTTAGGTTTCCTTAATTGTCCCCCCAAACAACTTATGTTTGGTCTTCAGAATCTCACTGTTGCCTGGGCCAGAGTACCATGGCATCAGCCTAGCTTGCAGCTTGCTGTGAGCTAGGCTGAAGCGACGGCACTCTAGCCCGGGCAACAGAGTGAGACTCTGTCTCAAAAAAGAAAAAAAATTTAAATAGTTACCATATGACCCAGGAATTTTCCTAGGTATACCTAGGAGGAGAATTGAAAACATATTCACACAAAAACTTGTACATGAATGTTCATAGCAGCATTTCTCATAATAACTAGAAAGTGGAAACAACCCAAATGCCCATCAGTTGATAAATTGATAGGGAAAGGGTAGCATATTCATAAAATAGAATATTATCCAGCCATAAAAAGGAATGAAATACTGATGCATGCTACAGCATGGTTTAACCATTTAAACAGTATGCTAAATGAAAAGCCAGATTCAAAGGGCTCATACTATGTGATTTAATTTATATGAAGTGTCTAGAATAAGCAAAACTTTAGAGACAGGAAGTAGATTAGTGGTTACCAAGTGCAGAGGATAGGGGAGAGTCAGAGTGACTACTAACAAGTACAAGGTTTCTTTTTGGAGTTTAACAGTGTTCTAGATTAGATAATGGTAATCAATGAACAATCATGTGAATGTCCTAAAAACCACTGAATTGTAAAGTTTATTTTTTTTATGAATTGTACAGTTTAAATGAGTGAATTTTCTGGCATATGAACCAGGGCTCCTTGGAGAATGATTACAATTCTACAGCAGGACATACACAAGATGAGTATATCTTTTCACAAGAAAGTAGTAAAGGTCTGAAAGACTACTAGGGTTGTGTCAAAGGGATTCAGGAACCTGTTTGAAGAGATTCCCACTGGCCACGGATGAGACAGGCTGAGCATCAAAAGGAATAAGAGGCACATCAAATATGTTTATATCCAATAGTTATAATGATACTTAAAAAAAAACCATTGGGGCCGGGGGCGGTGGCTCATGC